ACTTACTTAATGTTTCTTTTTAGTCTACTTCCACAAGATCCGTCTTCACGTTGAGTCTCCTGAAACTCTAGTGTCGGCTGTCCAGGGGAGTAACGCTACACTGCCGTGTCATTACCGCTACGAGCCTGAGCTCAGCGCGCCGCGCAAAACGCGGGTCAAGTGGTTCTGGCAGCCGGTGAGCGGCGAGGGGCAGGAGCGTGACGTCATGGTGGCCATCGGCACACGTCACCGGAGTTACGGAGACTTCAAAGGACGAGTGCGGCTCCGCCGAAGCGCCCCGGGAGATGCGTCCCTCGTCATCAACCCGCTACAGTCCGACGATACCGGCCGTTACCGGTGTGAAATTATTGATGGTCTAGAAGACGAGAGCGTGACGGTGCAGCTAAAGTTTCGAGGTGCGTCACAGATTAACTCCTATCTAAAGCAAAGTGCGTTAAAGTGACCTAAACACTATAATTGTATTACTTTAAGATGTAGTATTATATTATCAATTATATATTGTATTAATATAGTATTTATATAAAATGTTTATATTAACAATTTATTGTCTGATATTAACAACTACAAAATCTACGTAGGCCTATATTTGTAGCCTAGCCTACTTAATTTATTTATTATATAATTTATCCCCCCCAAAATTGGCAAACCCTAATTATCTAATTATTTTTAATGATCTTTTATCTTTAACAAAATGTTGCTGATCTTCAGTGGTGCATTGTGCTCTTGTGCTCCACAGGTGTGGTGTTCCCCTATCACTCCTCTAGGGGGCGCTATCTGATGAACTTTCATGAGGCTAAGGAGGCATGTGAGAAGCAGGATGCACACCTGGCTACCTTTGAACAGCTCTACGCTTCTTGGGATGAAGGGCTGGACTGGTGTAACGCTGGGTGGCTCATGGATGGGACGGCACAATATCCCGTCGTAGAGCCACGAGAGGCTTGTGGTGGCACCGAACTGGCACCTGGTGTACGGAGCTACGGCGTTCGGGACAAAAGTCTGGACCGGTTTGATGCCTTCTGCTTCACTTCGTCCATTAGAGGTAATAACGTTTGTATATATTTAGTGGAGTTTTTAAGTATCCTCATATAACTTCATCTAGTCCTGGCATATGCTAATTGGTTTCCGTGAAATCTGGTCAGACAAACATTTAAAATTTTCCATAGCTGTGCTTTAACAGGTGTTTTACTTTTTAAAATCGGACAAAGATGAATTAATGGTAATTTCGGCTCAGGATACAGTACGTGTGGCTGCAATTGCTCATTCTGGAAAATGTTCCTATTTTAAAAATA